GTGTGTATATATATATATATATATATATATATATATATATATAGTACAGTAATATTAATAAATAAAATATTCAACCCACACTGACAGAAGGCAGGTTTAGATCAGACATCAGGAAGAAATCCTTCCCTGGCAGGGTGTGAGGCCCTGGCACAGGTGCCCAGAGCAGCTGTGGCTGCCCCTGCATCCCTGGCAGTGCCCAAGGCCAGGCTGGACAGGGCTTGGAGCCACCTGGGATAGTGGAAGGTGTCCCTGCCCAAGGCAGGAGGGTTGGAATGAAATAATCTCTAACGTTTCTCCCAACCCATTCTATGAATAAAGAAAAAACCCCCAATTTTGAATGTGATATGAATATGCACGCCTGTTTTGAGTGCCTTTCCTCTGAGACTAGACACATACTGATGGTCTCTGCAAACTGTGGAGTTAATACTGGAATTCCCATCTACTACTGATCAGCTTCAGTGTCTTCTTCACTAATACCTTCAGCATGATATATAATTTCAAGATGAGATGGACAAAATCTCAATATTTTATTCATCCTTCCACCCCTTTTTCTTTCTTTTCCTCCCCCTTATCTCACCACCTACCAGCCCAGCTTTGCTGTCCTAAAGCCCAGGAAGGATTCAGTCCTTTATTCACTTGAATTGTGCTGCTTAACTCCATCGTGTAGACAGGATATTAAATCCTTTCCAAACAGATGAACAGATTATTATGGCAGTTGTGCTTCCAATGGTGATTTTGATTTTGTTTGTGGTATTATGTGGTTTGAGACACCGCAGGTGGGAGTTCTGATCACAGTTCAGTCCTGCATCTTAAAGGACTGAATTCAAAGTCTTCCCAAGCTGTGCTAGGTAGCAGAATCAGGTGTGCCCTCTGCTTTTTTCCTGTTGGTTTGCTATCCATGGAGCCTGGCTCCAGCTGAGGTGTGGGTGCTGCCCTGGCTCCTGCTCCTCTCCAGCCTCAGTGCCATGGATAATCCTCTCTCTTTCTCTCCCCAGGGTGGAATGTACATGCTGCAGCTTGTGGACACCTATGCAGCCTCCTATTCTCTTGTCATCATTGCCATCTTTGAGCTTGTTGGAGTTTCCTACATCTACGGTAAGAACAAACGTTATTGGGCAGCCTCAGTCAAAGCAACATATTAGAGAATTGTAAGGGAAATTCTTGAGGAAAGGAGTGATTTTTCTCTGTAATAAAAGCCCCAAAACACTCTTAGTGTGGACAGAAGCATGGCAGGACTTCAGGATCCCTTAAATGCATGTATTCAAAAGTCTTTCATGCAGTCTCGAGTCATTTTCCACCAACAGCTCAAAGATATGAGTATGAGAATGGAGCAAACATTTACTGACACTTTTCTGGGGTGCTTTTGTGCTTCAGCAGTTTTAGGGACAGAGACCTCCTGAACCAAGAGCTTTATATATTTTATATATATATATATATATATATATATATATATATATATGTATATATATATATATATATAAATATATATATATATATAAATATATATATAAAAATATATATATATATAAATATAGATATAAAAATATATAGAGTATATATTATATATATATACTCTATCTATCTATCTACCTATCTACCTACCTACCTACCTATCTACCTATCTATTTTAGGGTGGCCCTAGCTGGATGCCAGGCATCCACCAGAGCTGCTCTATCACTGCCTTCTGCAACTGGGCATGGGAGAGAAAATATAACATTCACCATGATTTGAAACCTGGACTATATTTTAAATTCTGCATGATTTGAAGCTTTCAAATCATGGTGAATTTAAAATACAGTCCAGGTTTCAAATCATGGTGAATTTAAAATATAGTACAGGTTCCAAATCATGCAGAATTTGGTGCTCTTGCTGGAGAAATAAATGTTATAGACAGGACAGGGAATGAGCCCTTCCTTGTTTTGTCTGGTTTCATGGAAATTCAGCAGTGTATTTTAACCTCCACTGACATCCAATTCAGTGAGTATGCCTGAGAGATTGGCTGCTAAGCCAGACATGACCTAGTGAGGAAATGCTACAGAATATTATGGAAATACTCAAAACCCAGAAAGAAAAGTTGATTTAGGCCAGTCATGTTTTGATTGAACAAAATTCTTTGCTTTTTTATGTCCCTGGAATGTAAATAATTCAAGTAGAGCTGGTTTAGAGGTGAAATGAAACCCAGCTTCTCTAAAATCAATGCAATTTCATAGGCAGTGACGAGTGGGGAGACTTGCAAAGATTTTAAGGGGTTGCTGGGGATTTTTTGCCTTTCTTCTCCTCCTCACTTTGCTGACAGCAGGCCTGAGCCATGCTGTGCTAGATGTTTTCACTCCTCATGGAGGAGTGAAATATTTTCAATATTTATATTTAAAATATTTTTAATATTTTAAAAGCTACTTAAATCTGTGAAATTTCTTTGCTCTGCATGATTTCAAATAAGGACGAAGGCAAACAGGGAGCAAGAAGCGGCTCTGTTCCTCCTGTGAACACTGTGTGGCAGAAGCACTGCAAACAGCATTTGTGGAATGACATCTCAGTGGGTTTGGAGGAAAAAACTGCTCTGGCCAGTGTTTGCCTTGCCCAGCAATTCCAGCATCCCTTAAAGCATTAACATTGATCAACAATATAAAATAATGCAGAAATAATAATAGCTCTGCAAAGGAAGGGCCTGAATAGAGGAGAAGGTTTTTTTAGTGAGTTATTGCTTGTGTAATCAGATGTGGAAAAAGTTTGACAAATTGCCAATTATTCTTTTTATGCTTTCTGTACAACTGATTGTTCATCAACAGATGTTGGTAAAACCTTGGCTGCAATCTATTTCAAGGGAATTAACCCTTTGCTTGACTAAGGAGCTTCCTTTTGTTTAAATAAAAAGGAAAGATATTAAAATCATTACCTGTTTGACAGAGCTGCTTTTACTGTGCTAAAGCTGCCTTAGCAAGGGCTGGGCACAGGAATACATCTGTGCATTTGTGATTTGGGTGTTGTAAATACAAGCAAAGCTGCTGCTCGTGTTGTATTCCTTCAAGCAGTGCTTAGAATTGGCATAATACATTTTCAAGGTCTGACAACTGCTGTTTTACACTCCACTGCCACCTTTCTCTGTGCACTTGTACTCTTCATGGCAAGCAGCTTGGCACAACAGTGGCAGGTGCTGTTGTGATGAAATAAATTTGTCTTTAGTGCTTGTTACATGTTCTGCTTGCTGAGCTTGCTGAGATTTTGAAATTAAAAAGAGACACACGTGGTTATTTCCTTGTGATCACTTATTTTTCAGTAGAGTCAGTGCTTCATGATGCAATCAAATGCACCTTTTTACTGTTTTATATGTTTATTCTCCAGTTGTTTAGATTATGAGGAATGATTAGTAAAGAACAGCTTAGGGGTGAGGTATTAATTTAATCACCAGCATAATTCCCACTGTTGCATTTTGTAGCATGAAGCTAAAGACAAAAATCCCTGTGTGTGAGCGAAGCACTGCTGGAAACTGAAAATACATGATGGAAACTTTGTTTATGCTCGATGCAGAACTGGCTTTTGTCAGTTTGTTTTTGGGAAGGTTTGTTAGAGTGAGTGGAAACTGCTGCTGTGTATTTGTAGGAAGCTTTAGTCATTTTGAACATTTTACCTGTAGCAGAATAGTGAAGTAGTTGTCTGGCTAGGTTTGCAGTCTCCCTTTAAATGGAGTTGATATGTCAGCACCTGGGAATACATCATTCTGCTTTAGAGAGGGAAAAATCAGATATGGAATATCATGTGTTGTTTATTGCCCAGAGTTATTCAGCAGGCCTGGCTGATCTGAGAGGGAGATCAGATTTACTGAGATCTGGGAAAAAAAGTTGGTGTTCTGTAAACTAAAATATCCTGTGCATTTTTTCTGCGGAACTCCCACTGGAAAGAGATAAGTAATGTGTAATCCCTCCATCTGTTATATACATTTGACTCCTGAATTGCTAATATTTAAGAGTGCCTTACACTGTGAATATCTACTGACCATTCCTAAAAGGAATTTCTTATTTGATTTTTTAAATTGGAGTTTCAAACAAATCTGTGCAGGTTTTCATGAAACCAGAATTTTGGAGGCAGAAACCCTTGGTAATAATCCAGTTAGGTATCCCCTCTTTGCAGCAGCAAGTGTGGCTGAAGTGGACACTTTAAATGAGATTTAAACTTTGTGGAAATGCCCATCAGCCTGTGCTGCTGCAATTAAAGCCCAGCTTTGTTCCCAGCAGAGCACAGGGATGGCTGCTGTGTGAGCAGCTCCCTCACACTCACTGCAGGTGAATAAAACACAGGGACAAATCTTTCAGTTGCAGCAAAAACCTCCTTCCAGCTCCACCACATGATGACCTTGGAGGGCACACTTTGTCCAGACAAACTTCTCTTCTATTCTATTCTATTCTATTCTATTCTATTCTATTCTATTCTATTCTATTCTATTCTATTCTATTCTATTCTATTCTATTCTATTCTATTCTANTTCTATTCTATTCTATTCTATTCTATTCTATTCTATTCTATTCTATTCTATTCTATTCTATTCTATTCTATTCTATCCTATCCTATCCTATCCTATCCTATCCTATCCTATCCTATCCTATCCTATCCTATCCTATCCTATCCTATCCTATCCTATCCTATTCTTCTACACAAACTTCTATTACAAAACAGAGAAGGACCCAATCAGTCAGCCTGGTGCTGAAGTACAGTGATTCCATGGGTCATAAAAATTACACGTGTTTTACACAGAAGAGGTTTCCTGAAGAAGAAAACTTGTGGCAGTCAGTAAAAGGGAAAAAGAAGGAAAGAAATTACAGAAGGAAAAAAGTGACCCCTGAGTTACCTTGGCTCAGTGTTCTGAGCTTACATCCAGTGCAGGTTTTAAGCACAGTCCTTGCAGTGCCACTTTGCTGTTTGATTTCTGTATTTTCCTTCTGTGTTCCCTATCATTGCAGGGTTCTTTAGCCCTTCTCTCCCATGCTGGGTGCCTGAGCTGGGTTTCTGTGTGCTCAGCCCTTGGCTGGCCCTGAGGGGCTGCCAAGCATCCCCAGCCCTGCTGCCTTCTCCTGCATCACAGGGCACAGATGATGGAGCAGTGCTAGGGTTTCCCTTCCTTAATTCTCAGAACAATCAGGTGCATAGATTTATTTCTCCTTGACATCAACAGCAAGGCTTCCAAACTGGGAGGATCAAGGCTGGGATTATCCCTTCTTACACTCGGCAGCTGCAGCAGCTGACTCCATACAATAAGGAATAAAGTAGTTTATTACTTTGGTTACAAGTATTTCTTCCCTTACTCAATGCCTTTTCTCCAGTATTTAAGGTTTCCTCACATCATGCAAGTTAGACAAAATGCTGCAGAATAATGCTTTGCAAAATTTAGATTAAATTGGCCCAAATTTTTACCTTTTATGTGAACAGATGAGCTCTGACCTCTCCCTTATTACAATGAAGAAAGCTGTAATCAGTTCTAGGGTTTCTTTTAACTTTTGGATAAATTACTGATAATGAAATTGCTAATGACTAAATTAGTAATAACCAGCAGGAATAGCAGCTGCTGACCAGCACACCTGTCCTGGCACATGGCACGGCCAGGGAGGAGCTGCACAATGGCTGAAATACCATTTCCCAATCTTGCACCTTTTGTTAACTTAAGTAACCTTATATGAAGGTTAACGTATCAGCTGACCTTTTTGTTCAGACAACATTGAATATAATTCAAAATATTCACAGGTGCTCTTAAGGAATTTTAAATATCAATTATGCATCAGGTGAAAAAGAGCAGGACATCACCAGTTTCAGTGATCCAGTCATGTAGCAGGTAAAGAGAAGCTGAAATATTGCCTGAATATTAATAAGGCTGATCTTCACAGGGGAAATAAAACAAACAGACAAATAATTGCAGCTACCCAGTACATCTCAGCAATGCTTTAACACAAAACATACTAAACACCTCATCTCAATGTAAAAGCTCAATTGCTTTAATCCCTAAGAAGGAAATATTTTGTTGGAATGGTTCCCACTCTATTAATCCCATTTTTACTGTGTAGTTAGATCCTCTAAGGAAGCTTTCAAACAAAAATTTGGAGTTTGTTTTCATAGTTGGACACAAGGGAGGGCACCAGAGCTCTGCTGCAGACTGCAGCTGCTTTCCTTCACACCTAACTGCTCCTCCTTTTGCTGTTCACAGGACTGCAAAGATTTTGTGAAGATATAGAAATGATGATTGGATTCCAGCCAAGTAAATTCTGGAGAGTCTGTTGGGCATTTGTGACCCCAACTATTTTAACAGTAAGAGAAAAAAAAAATTAACATCTTCTCCAAAGAGTTTTGCTGTTTTTTGTTCATTATGCATGATGTTTCTGGGTGTTAGCAGCTGGAACTTGGATGACAGCACATGTGCTCTTGCCATGGGCATGTAGAAGAAACAGTGTAAGGAATGGTGGTTTTGGTGGGGAGGGATGGTGAGTCCTCCAGGAAAACGGTGGCCTTTTCCTGGCCATGCAAAATGCTGCTGTGGCACACCATTGCACTACAGCATTAGAGATTACTGTATATAAATATATATATATATATGAATATAAAAAATTAAAAATATTTAAAATATATGTTAAAATATTAAAAATATTTAAGATATAGAATGAATATACACTATTTATGAATATAAATATAAATATATTTATAAATATAATACTTATAAATATATAATATAAATACAATAGGTTTTATACATATCTATATAGATATGTATATCTATATCTATCTATATCTATATATCTAGATGATATTTAATACATATCTATATATCTATGTATCTATAGGTCTGTATATCTAGATGATATTTAATACTTATCTATATATCTATATATCTAGATGATATTTAATACATATCTATATATCTATGTATCTATAGGTCTGTATATCTAGATGATATTTAATACTTATCTGTATATCTATATATCTATATATCTATATATCTATATATCTATATATCTATATATCTATATATCTACGTATCCATATATCTATATCTATATCTATATCTATATCTATATCTATATCTATATCTATATCTATATCTAATCTGTGTGTGTGTGTGATATTTATGTATGCACAGGGAAATCCAAGATCCTCCTGAGTGCTGTCAGACCGAGCTAGGGACAAAAGCCATTTTATTGCCGCAGGAGCTGGTGTAAGAGGGATGCTTTGGGAAGGCTGAGGTGGAGCAGAGGGGCAGAGGGAGAGGAGGAGGAGGAGGAGGAAGAGCGGGACTGTCCCGTCCCCAGTGCCCGGGCCCGGGAGGTGGCGCTGCGGGACAGCGCCCGGAAAGGAGCCCTGAAATCTAAAACCAGAGCGACTTTGGTCTATGTTTATTATTCTTCCTATTTTCCTTTCATTTTTATTTCCTCCCCAACACCTTCCTTCAAATTCAGTCAGCATTTGCTTCACGTTTAGGTCTCCATTTAATTAAAAAAAAAAAAAAAAAAAAAGTCACGTTCTCAATTTCTACATTGCTATGAAAGTTTTTCAAGTCCAGGGGACCGAATCCAATATCTGTATCTACATCTGCCATCTAGGTTTCTAACACAGTGCTTCATTTACGTTTTAACCTCCGTGCAGATACAATCTGCAATCATATATGTATATATATTTTTTTTTTGGCACAAGAATGAAATAATTATTTCAGCCATTTCAAAAGCTTCCAGCTTGACAAATCAGCGCAAAACAACAGAGCCTTCTTTACCAGTATCTTCTGTTTGAGTGCCTGTACCTCCCCTTGGCAGTGGTCAAGCCTGAACCCCAGGTGCAGCAAGATTCTGTCCTTTAGTGCAGTGTAAGTGTTGGCAAATCTTCTTCTGGAGGGGGAAGAAAAAGGCACTGGCTGAAGTTAACAACTTATTTTCAGTATTGTTCATTCACAAATGAGGACATTTTCTTTTCTGAAAACTGGAAAAGGTTTAGTTTTCACAGACAGGAATGCCTGTGTGAAGGCACCAGTGAGTTTTGGTGAGCTCAACAGAATCCTGAGTTGTGAAGAAATGACATTTTCTACAGTGAGAATGATTTCTCCAATGGGTAAAATGAATTTTCTTGCATAGATTTTCTTTACCTGCTGTCTGCACTGCACTACAGCATTGCTCTATGTGAAAACCAGAGCAATCTATCTTACCCACCTGTGGTTTGATTGTGACAATGTATGCCTGTAGTTTGCAGATCACTTTGAAAAAGTTTGAAGACATACTCCAGTTCATAGTGTTAGGATGACATCAATGGTACTTATCTTCTCTTGGGGATCTTTTTAAAGATGAAGGCATGTGCACATGGGATTGTTTAGCTCTTTGTGTTTTTTCCAGTGGTTGTTTTCAAGATGCTGCCTTAGACCCTATTTCACACTTCTGAAGGGAATTGTAAGGCTTTTCTGAAAATTGCTCAGATCCTTTACTAATCAGACTTGTGCTCACAGCTCCTGTCAGTAATCACAACTAGGAAATAGGAAATTATGTTGTTTGTTAAGGAAAACAAATTGGAACTGACCGTGTTTACTCTCTAAACTTGCATGTTCTGTTGTTGTTCCCTGCAAATGCAATATTTAGTGAACTTACAGTGAGAAATAAACTGACACTGATCAGTCATCATTCAATTTTTATGCAATGGAAACAGACAAAGCAAAACCAAGCAATGAATTCTTTTCTGTTATTGCCTCTGTAAAGCTAATATTTGATACATTTGGATAGCCTAATATTAGACTTTCATTAGACTCCACATCTCTGGAACTAAAGCTGATCATTTTTATATGTGCCTTCACCTCGTTATACTTCTATAAATCTTCTGTGTGCAATTACTGCAAGCACAGGCATTTTCCAAAAGTTACTGAATTATGCACAAATGTAAGCAGATGTATTGCTGTTCGCACAGTAAGTGAAATGGGGAACTTACCATAATCACATTAGGTAAAACTGCCAATAGACCATGTAATAAGGCATGTTACTCTAGGGACAAGATTCTATTTCAATTATTCTGGCACAAATACAGTGATTTTTGTGGGATTTTGCAAGATTTCCTAGAAACTCATTAGATTCAGGCTCTGACCCATTGAGTAGAGCTGGTGGCAGCACCCTGCCTTAGGTGGATGTGGGTTTATGTGTATTCCATAAACGCCAGCTCTGTGGGTGTGGGTACCCACCATTGGCGCCATTGTTTTGCTTACTCAAACATATTTGTTTTCCTTTCTTGTTCCCAGTTTATTCTGTGCTTCAGCTTTTACCAGTGGGAACCCATGACTTATGGAGCCTACCACTACCCAGGCTGGTCCATGGTGCTCGGCTGGCTGATGCTGGCCTGCTCAGTCATCTGGATCCCCGTGATGTTTGTGATAAAAATGCATCTAGCCCCAGGAAAATTTATTGAGGTAACGCTTCTGTCTTTTTGCTGTTTAAAAATATGGCCACAGGAGACAGTATCTTTCATTTCCCATTGATTTTTGTGATATTGAATGTCTAATACTGCTCGGATTACTTTCTGGTAAACCACTTACTGTGTTGCAAAGAGATGCTCAGTTGATTTAAATTGTGGACCTTCTATTCCTAATTTTTTCAAAAAACACGGTCCTAAATTGTGGAGTGTTTTGTTTTAGGAGCTCTAGATAAATTTCACGAGGTTTTGTATGGCTTTATTGGGAGAAAGTTGCTCTAGATTCGTTGGCCTTTTTGCAAAAGCAGCACACAGCCACAGGAAGCCTCAGCTGCAGGTGTGTGCTGTGCCCAGGGAGCGTGGTCTGAAAATCAGGAGAGGGGAATCAGTACCTGGAGAGGGCAGTGAGCAGCAGGAAAGGGCAGTGAGCACCAGGAAAGGGCACTCAGCACCAGGAAAGGGGAATCAGCACCAGGAGAGGTCAGTGAGCACCAGGAGAGGGGAATCGGCACCAGGAGAAGGCACTCAGCACCAGGAGAGTTTAATCAGCACCAGGAGAGGGGAATCAGCATCAGGAGAGGGCAGTGAGCACCAAGAGAGGGGAATCAGTACCAGGAGAGGGGAATCAGCACCAGGAGAGGGCACTCAGCACCAGGAGAGGGGAATCAGCACCAGGAAAGGGCACTCAGCACCAGGAGAGGTCACTCAGCACCAGGAGAGGGCAGTGAGCACCAGGAAAGGGCACTCAGCACCAGGAGAGGGCACTCAGCACCAGGAAAGGGCACTCAGCACCAGGAGAGGGCAGCGAGCACCAGGAGAGGGGAATCAGCACGAGCAGAGGTCAATCAGGAGTTGCCTGTGTGCCAAGTTGGGTCCTGGAGTCCCCCAGGAAGGCTTTTCATGCATCTCAAGCTACTCACTACAAAACCCAGCTGGCAATCTTTGCTTTCACCTCTCTGCTCTTTATTCTTCCTGAGTTGGCTGATCCTTTCTGGCACCTGGGCTTAAAATAATTCCAGGTGGCAATTTATTTTTAATTTAAGGTTCTTTTGTTTATTTTGCTAATTGGATTCCTGACACTTTCCCCCACTGCTTCAGAAATGTGGTGGCCACCTCCCTCTCTGCATCCCTGAGTCCTGTCCCTGCCTGTCACCCCCTCTCCCTGGCTGTTCCCATCCCTCAGTCCCTGGCAGGATGAGCAATGTCAGCATTTCATCCCTTCCTTGCCTTGCCCCTGCTTTCTGGAGAAGCTCAGTGCTCTTATTTTAAGTCTTTGAGGCCTTTCTCAGTTCTGCCTTCTCATCAGTGCCTGCTGCTTGTGCTGCTGCCACCTTGGGAGAAGGAACAGACACTCTCTCCCCTTTCTGTAGCTGCTTTTACAGTTCAGCTTCCCTGCAAATCCCACCGGGGCTGTTTCTTGCTTCAAAAAATGAAAAGGAGAGAAAATGTACTAAAATAGCATAATCTCTTTGGTCTCTAAATATGTCACACTACACATGCCTAAGGGAAAAGACCACGCTTCTCTGCTACCCGTGGAGCAAAGGAATGTTGTAGCAGAGGAATTTTCACAGTGGTGGGACAGCCTAGGGAGGGCACCCAAGCAGCAATGAGGCCACTTGTCTAAAGGGTCATTCAGCTCTTGTGTAGAGCAGCATTAGGAAATGACCTAATGTGGAATTAGATTTACTTTGGCTCATCAGCTCCTCCCACTGACACAAATGCTTCAAAACTTCCCATGTCTAAAACTGGCACACAAATTGCCACAAAAGTAGGGTGCTTCCCTTACTGTGATTCCAGGTGTGCACCCAAAGAAACACCCAAGAGTTGGATCTGTTTTTGCTTAAGATATTTCAGCTGTAGTCTGGTGTTTCCTCAATATTGAGTCTGCTGCATAAAATTATTATGGTTGATTTGGGAGGTAAAAGTTGCAAACTGGTAATTAAGCAGAGATTAAAATAACTGATAGAGAGGTCTGATCCACTTTATTAGGTAATAAACATATAATTGTTCCCTCTTAAGTCATCAAAAATATGTTTTCTTTCCTTTTTATCTGTGAATGCACCAATCAAATTATATATTCAATAAAGAACTCAGTGGAAAGATCAGAAAATTTTCGTTGTTTGCCAGGTTGACATTCTCCTCTTTCTTTTTTCCCGCAGATAGAAACAAAACATTTTGTCATCTCAAAATTAAAATCTTTCCTAGTGATATACTACTTTTTGATAATTTGTTTACTTTGGGGAAATATGCTAACTATAAATCCAATTATTTTAATGCACTTACCCACTGCTTAGACCATTGGGCTGAGTAATTGTGCCCATGTCCTTCAGTGAGAGAGCCTCACAGTCTGTGGCAGTGATTCTGAGCTCCCCCCACATGGTGTGGGGAAAAATGTGAAATTAAAACCTGGCCACTTGATCCCCTATTAGTCTTAAAAACCTTGTGCCAAACAAATGCTGAGCAGTGTGTCAGAACCCAGGACATTCCTCTGGCTGCCCTGGATGGCTCAAGACCCTGCCCAGGAGTCACAGAGCCCAAGACCCCTGAGCCTTTGTTCTTGACCCATGGAGAAAATTGCCACCTTTATATGAAGAATTACAAGTCAAGAGAGTTTAAGCAGAATAATAGTTAGTTTGTCACAGGGTGAAAAAATAGATTTTTGAGGTTTTAGAATGGGGGCTCGGAGTCCCAAGATGGAGGAATTTGGATGTGCCCTGTCCTTTTTCTTTCTTCTTCTTGGCCTCCATCTTCTGGGTGACTTTTGGATTGGTTTAGGCTGGAAGCTCACTGTTTAACACAGGTGATAGGTATTGGGAAGTTATGGTAAATAGTGTGCATGCAGTTTTTAGTATAAAAGATAACACTGCACTGGGGGCAGGCAGAGTGCCACTGTCTGTCCTGCTGAACACACCTCGGCAGGACAGAGAAAGAATGTTATAGAAAAGAAACAATAAACAGCCTTGAGAATGAGAGTGGAAAAATCCTGACTCCTTCTTCGACTGCTGAGCTGGGAAAAGAGGCTCGTACGTATCTGAGTGACTGAGCAGCAGAGATCCTGAGGGCAGCAGAGCATTGCCAGGCTGCCATCACTGACCTTGAGCGAGCCCATGCTCCCTTGCTGTGCTCTGCTCCTGCCCCTGGCACCCAGTGAGACTCTCTTTTCTCTCCCTGCAGAGGCTCAAGCTGGTGTGCTCCCCACAGCCTGACTGGGGCCCCTTCCTGGCCAAGCACCGCGGCGAACGGTACAGGAACATGATTGATCCGCTGGGAACCTCCTCCCTGGGGCTCAAACTGCCAGCCAAGGACATGGAGCTGGGGACACAGTGCTAATGATTATTACTAAAGGGTGGCAATCACACTGTCAGCCTTCTCTGATTTTATTTTCCCCATTTTTGTTTTCACCCACCGCTTCTTCTTTCCTGCAGTGCCTGAAAGTGGTTGCTTAGGAAAGCAGAGCTCTGTTGTTGCACGCCATAGGGGAGGCCTAACCAGACCACTTCCAGGTGTGGGTGATGCCTGTGACACGTTCTGTTCCTGGGGACGCAGCAAAAGCCCTGTGTGTGACAGGTGGCACAGCCAGGTGCTGTCAGGTGATGCAGGAACGAACAGAACCAAACCAAAAAGTCTTTAGAGAAATGAGGTGTGCAGTCTGACCCCCTTCCCACAAGCACCCTTTGTAGCAGGTGGCTGGGGTGGGATTTTGCTACCAGTGCATTCCAAGGAGGGTTCATCCCTCAGATATGATGGAAGTGAGCAAAGAATGGGATCTCCTGTAGTCCTGATGTAAATCCAGCACAAGGCTCCTGTAGCAACGGGGCTGCTTCCCTACACTGACAGCCAGCCTTGACCCATCATGTCTGCACACCTCCTTTGTGATTTGTACTAACTTGGAGGGGTTGTTATGCTATTTAAACAAGTGGAGAACCTTGAAACAGCACACCAGGAAGCAATGCATGGGGTGAGAACAAAACGTGATAATCCATTTGTAGAAAAATAAGAACAAAGTGTTTAAAAATGATCAGTTGAGAGACTAAACTGCATTTGAGTCTAGAAGTGGTTTGGAAATGGTGTCAGAATGAGCTGTATGGGCATCGCTGTTTGAAGTCGTCTCATATGTTTCTTTTGATAATTTGACATCTGTCATTTCAACTAGGAATGCCTCAGTTACACAAAGTATCTGACAACTTGCTCCACGCCAAGTGAACTGTGATTTTACTCACCTCACTCCAATACTCCGAATATATTTTTCTTTTTCTCTGCTTTTGTTTACAGTATCTCCTCAAAAAGCCATCATATAATTTGTGCCTAACTTTGTATCCTTACAAAGTGGTAAGTGTAGTCTAGTTACCACCTGAAAACAGTTATTGGATGTGCTGTTCAACTTCGTGACTCCCCGTTCATTTGCCTCTAAGCACCTTTATATAACCTGTAACCCTTAGATGGTGTATTCTTCTCTTTCAGCCAATAGGGAAATAGCAGGACCCCCTTGTCTACATATTATATATATAGCACGTCAATTCTTCAAAGCAGTATTCTCTCTGAAACATGCATAGAGTATTTTTTTCATTAAAACATTTTCATTAAATAAAACCACTCAAATCCTCAGTAATTAACCACTGCAGTTATCCACACAGGTGCAACATTAGGTGTAGAAAATGCAAGGGTTGAGGGGGAAAGGGCAATTTAGTAGAGGGCCATCATAGCGTTGCATAGCATCCTAAATCACTACATTTTAGAAATCAGATATATGCAATCATATGAATATTAGACTTAAATAGTTTTGTTACCTATTGGACAGAGTAAAAAATAGAGCTTTTAAAGAGTACATTTATTTACCTAAATAGAAAATTAGCCCAACTTATTGTAAATGCGCTAGAATGAGGGAGAAAAATATATCTTCAATAATTGGCAAAAATTAACCTTTATTATCTTGTTATATTCTATACATACATATATGATATTTTTTAACGGTGATCAGTGTTCATGTAGTGTGTGCTAGTGATGTTTTATGTCCTTATTAATATCTTACCAATCAGTGTAGAAATAATGAGCTTAGTAGTTTAGCCAGTTTTTTCCTCCCCACAGACACTGCTGTAGTAGCCTGTAAATGTTCTTTCCTTTCAGGGGACTGTTTCTATTCCGTTTTTCTGTCTGTCTGTCTGTCTTCATACTACAGGGTCTCAGGTAAATCCTCAGTTCATGTGTGTCCGTAGATCAGTAGGTGTGCTGTTTTCATCCTGTTGAAGAAAACAAAAAGCTAAACCTTAAAGTAACACTTCCACAAATTGTTAACTCCTTTCCTCTGTGTGTGTGTATATATATATGTATATGAAATATATTAATAATCATTTTGCTGAACTTCCTCTTTCACGGGGCAATTAGTGTTGCCAGTCCTAGGCACTGCTGGGAATCTTTAATCCTCACTCAGAACAATGAAGCACTATCAGGGCTTGTCAAGCAGGGCAGGGAGGGCAGGTTCCACAATATCTTACACTGACCCCTGAATCTCTGCTCCATGGGCTCTTGCTGGTCCCTGTCCCACACAGCAGCAGGACAGGACCCTCCTGTGGCCTTCTCTGCCTTAAAGCTGCTCCCCTTGCTTCAGCTTTGCCTGCTATTTTAACAAAAGACTCGCTATTCTTACCTCCAGCTTTTATTTTCCTGGCAGAGGCAGGTTTGAGAAGCTGTGCTCTGTCTGAAGGTCCACAAAGATGAGCTGGAAATTTGGTGCCCACTGGGTGGGGCTGAGGGACCTTCCCTGGGTGCAAAAGGAACACCCAAGCCAGCATCTCTCTTGGGAATTGTGTTTCTGTCGGGATAAATCACTCTGGGTCTCCCTTAAACCAATATTCCCTGCCACCTTGGTTTGATTTTTGCAGTCCAAGCCAATTTATCCTCGCTAATACTGTAATTTAAAAACACCAACAACATATATCTGTAGGTTTGATCCTCTTTGAAAAAGAGACAACACAGTCCAGTGGTTTGGGAGCACTGCATCCTTTCCCTCGGAGGCTTGTCTCAAGGCATGCCTTGGAACTGGGGTTGCACATGGCCATGGAGCCCCTCAGGGTGAGGATGTCAGCCACTGCCCACCTGAACTGGGACAGAGGGATCATTTGAAGGAATACTGCTGGGATATGAGATCTTTTGGCTTGGATTACCAAACCAGACTGCATATGAAATTGCTACTGAATTGCTTTCCATGATTTATGTAATTAATCTGCTTGCTTTTAATTTAGATGTTGTTCCTGTGCCTGCTAAGTCATTAGCACAGGATTAGGCTTGAATTTGAAACTCTGTAAACAGATGATTGGGATTTTTTTGCTAGCTGATCTTTGTCTTCAACTTTGACCCCATTGCTAGGCTTGCAAAAACCTTTGGAAAAGGGGAGAAATGCATACAAAAATCACAGAAGATGTAAAGTTTTCACTAAATGTGAAAGGCAGGGTTTTATTTTGGTCACATGAGACTTTTTCTGAAGTATTTTACTGTCCAAATCTGAAAGCTGAGATTAAATTAACCAGCAGTGTCTTCTTTAAATGAGAAATAACCTTAAAGTTTGGGAATGCACTTCATTTACCATGTTCTAAGGAAAGTTTGCATGCACTTTGATAATTTTCTAAAAATAAATTTAGTAACTAATAGCATAACAGTAAAGATCTTTAAAAGAAAAAACAAGGAGGGGAAAAAGCCATATTAGTAAAAATGTGATGTACGTACTTTCAGATCTATCTATCTTGTGAGTAAAAAATGTTTAAATTTGGTGAAACTATGATGCATATTTTTTCTTTGAAATTAAATTGAATTTCTGGATGAGCTGAGATGCATTATTGTATGCATTAAAGATTATACCTAATGCAAATGCTTGCCATCTTCAGATTCTTTGGGGTCTTCCTCGTGTTTTTAATATGCAACGCTCAAAACCTGTGTTTCAGCTAGACAAGGCAGCACTTTGTTTCCAAAAGAAGGGTTTAACAAAATGACCTTTAATTGAGAAAGACTTGGATTGTCTTTATATGATGTTTCAATTGAGTCCAAGTAGTCTTTTGATTCATTTCTGCTCCAATGGCCACATCAGACGTGCCTGCACACTGAAGACCATTGCTTCTGCTACACTGTGTGACTGTCTCTCACCATCAGATCCCAACACCCGATTGATTTGAAATACCTTTGGTCTTTTTATTGTGTACAGTTGTTTGGATAATATCATTTCCTTTTGCCGGTGTTAAAACAATGTTTATGTATGGCGGTCATTGGTCTCCTGTTGGTTTCTTCTTCTGCAGCTCCACCTCTCCTTGCAACCAAGGACAGACTTGTAGGGACTGTGGGCTGCAGACAGCAGAGCTTTTTGACCAGAGGCATGCCAGAAAGCTCCTCTGTGCTGCTGTTGTGAGAGACACTGGTTCCTTGGTTTGCAGCTGGGTGGTGTGCACATAACTGGGCAATGGTAAGAGCTCGGTGCTCCTGAGGGGCTCAGGTGGGTGGCCTGGGCAGGAGGGGAGAGGCGTGGGGATTCCTGCCTTTGGCACCCTCAGGCAGCCCAGCACTAAAGAGAGAAGGTGGATCATAATGTGAGAGCTAGGTTGGATCTTAATGCTTGCAATATTTTATTTGCCCATAACATTTAAATACATCTTCAGGTAACCATTTGCCTTATAGCTACCTTCCATTGTTAGGAAAATTGACTAAAACATGGTGTTATCTGTCCTTTATATTATGTAGTATTACCTTCTAAGGTAGATGCTTGGCTGGTATAAATTGTCACAGCTTTGTCTGGAGCTGTGACAATTTACACCAGCTGAGAATTTGCTCCCTGTGTCCTATGGCACTTTATTACAGACCCATCACTGATGGGTTAAATCTTAATTACTTGCGTAATGTCATATATAAATATATATATATATATATTTACAGGCATTCTATGGGGTACTGCTGCCTATGGATAAAGATTTGTACCCTAACCAGATCATTACGATTTTTTCATTAGCTGTATGTGCAAAAGATATATTGTTACAAAGAATGCATCATACGTACCTCATGTAGTACATATTATGTTGCTGTATGTTGTTAATTTCAGAAATCATTATTCTTGAGGCCCTACCTCAGATTTTGTATTTATGTGTAAAAATGCAATTTATTGTATTATACATTTGCCTAATATATTTGAATGTGATAAATTAAAACTATTCAATAATGTATGGGCTCTAAAGACTCTAAATAAATGTCCAGTGTTTAAAACAGAAATGACATCAGTTTCCCTGGTGAATGAAATGTCTCTTTTTCCACCACCTCCTTCCCCACCCAGCACACACCACAAACATCATTCTTACTTAACACACAGACTTAAGGTGTCTTCAGAATTGATCCATTTGATTGTTAGAAACATTGAGCAGCAACTGGAAACAGCCCTCCTGGGAAAGGGGGTGTTGCACAGCTGCAGAAACAAGCACCATTTAAATGGCTGGTTCCTTAACTATTGAGTGCTCTGTACCCTGTGGAACTATTGATTGCTTAACACAGGACCAACTGGATTTGTTTAAATCCTTCTTATCCTATCAATTCAATTATCCCAAGGGCTGTTAGACTGTTAAGAACAAGAGAGGTACATATCTGCTGGAGATGCAAATGGGAGGCTGAAAGCAGGAGCAAGTGAGGAAGGAAAGTGTAAGGAACAGTTTCTGGTGTTACTGTACCTTGCGTTTGAATTCCTGCCACGTGGTGAGGCTGTGTGCCACAACACTGGTTTGCAGAGCAGCTTCTCCCCTTCCCAGCCTGCCATGGAAATGGTTCTGGTCCAAGCTGTTCCACTGCTGGCAGCCACGAGCTGTGGAGAAACTTTCCCCAAATACAGCAGCTGAAGCACGATGTCCCAACGTGTCACCAAAAGTGGTGTCACAGGAGATCTCGTGCCAAGAGCAGGATTCCTTCCAGGGAGAGGCCTGAGCCTGAACACTGCTCTGTAGCTGAGGGGCAGGATGTTCCACCCTGCTCTGTTTCTCTGAAATGTGCATGCATGGGTGAAGGAGTGCTAGGACCTGGTGATGGAAGGCTACAATCGTTCTCTGCACATTGCCTGTGCAGGTGGAATTCATTTTGGGGAAGTCTGAAGTTACCACAGGGCATCGTGAGAATCCTGAGAGACAGCTGAGTGCCATGAATGCCCTTTTCAGGAGGAGAAACTGAGGCAGATGGAATGTGTCAGACTCCCAGAGTCACCCAGTGTAAGTTAATGATACAACACATTGATTCTGGGAATAAGGGACAGTAGTTTGCTGTCACCATTAGGTGTCTACTGCACCAAATCTTTAAACTCATAGGAACAGACACAAATCCATGTCCTTTTAACTGGATTAAAGTTAAAAGGACCATTTTAGCTTTGGTTAAAGTTAAAATGGACTGACCATGGCCAGAATTTAAACCAATGCATGTTCCTTAATAGCTGGAAGAGAGGCACATGTTCTACTACACTGCTTACAGATGGGTTTAGTCTGAAATAATTTTACTCTTTTGGTGCTGAAATTCCTACGGTCAGCATGGAGATTGAAGGGTACATCTTATATCAAATGGATTAACCAGTTGTAAAGTTTAGTTTAGATTCTCAGTCTTCGAACATTAGCTAACTATGCGTTTAGAAATTAAAAATAATAATTAAAAACAGAGCAGTAAATATTGCTCCATGAAGTAGACAAAAGATTTTTCTTCTTAAGGTTTCACTCTGACGGGTTTGTTAGTTAGTTATGTAGCTGTAAACCCTAAATTGGTACTTTTAGCCTGCTGAACTGATTGTATAGTCCTTTCCAAGTACTTGTCAGTGGTTAAGGCAAGCACAGCATACAGCAATCCCCCCTTCCTTTCCACCTATTCCTCTTCCCAGCGCTCAGGTGTGAGTGCTGCTGCTGATTCTTGCCCTCTACTGGCAGCAAAGCAAACTTTGCTCGGATGGACGGCGAGTGTCCCCGTGCAGCCAGGCTTTGCGGGGACGCGAGCTTCATTTGGGAATGCAGGAGCTACAAGTGGTGGGTCCCTTTCCCTTCCCTTCCCTTCCCTTCCCTTCCCTTCCCTTCCCTTCCCTTCCCTTCCCT